GCCCCCCGGACCCCCCCCCCCCCCCCGAGGCCGGTGTCGGTCTGGCTCTCCCTGGACGAAGAACGCGTGGCCTCTCCGCGCCCCGGTCGGGGCTGGCGTGCGAGCGAGGATGCCTCGGAAGGGGCTCCGGGGCTCCGGAGGGAAGCGCAGGAAAAAGGCACCGCTCGACTTCCCTACGCCGTCGGGCCCCGGCGTCGCTGGCGGAGGCCCTTCGAGCCACGCAGTTGCAAGGGTGGGGGGGACTTCGCCTGGGACTCGTCACTGATTGATCAGGTCAGTAATACGGAAACACAGGAATCCGCGGGGAGAAGAAAGGAAAAGGCTCTTTACTAAGAGTGGCAGGCATCCCTCCCCTCCACCTCGCCCCAGCGTCTTTCACCAAAACCTGGGGCCGCAGTTCCAATGATCTGCTTGCTTACAATTGTGTTGCCTAAGCATATGTATAGATGTAACTTTCACATACAGATCCCGATATATTTCTTGCTATGTGTGTAACGTACAGAACAACGTGGGCAGATGTAAAACTAACGGGTGCACGGCTCCGTTCTTCCCCCTGTGCCAGCAACGGACCATTTCTGCCTCTTCAGCGATTGTTGGGTTGCAGTTCCCATCAGCCCCTTTTTCCCCAGGGACAGGATGAGAGGCTGTCCCTTGGCCCCCTTTGGAGGTGGAGAACTTTTGGAGCTCCAGATGTTCCGGACCTCAGCTTCCAGAATCCCCATCCTCTTATTCCTTGTGCTGAAGGACTATGGGAGTGGTAGCCCAAAATAGCTGGAGCACCCAAGGTTCTCCAGTCTCATGGATTTCAGTGGTGTGTATCCATCAAGGCTCAAAGGACTGATTCGATCTGCTTGCTTGCAATTCTGTTGCCTAGGCATATGTACAGATGTAACTTTCACATACAGATCCCGATATATTTCTTGCTATGTGTGTAACGTACAGAACAACGTGGGCAGATGTAAAACTAACGGGTGCACGGCTCCGTTCTTCCCCCTGTGCCAGCAACGGACCATTTCTGCCTCTTCAGCGATTGTTGGGTTGCAGTTCCCATCAGCCCCTTTTTCCCCAGGGACAGGATGAGAGGCTGTCCCTTGGCCCCCTTTGGAGGTGGAGAACTTTTGGAGCTCCAGATGTTCCGGACCTCAGCTTCCAGAATCCCCATCCTCTTATTCCTTGTGCTGAAGGACTATGGGAGTGGTAGCCCAAAATAGCTGGAGTACCCAAGGTTCCCAAGTACCCAAGTGGCATTGGTGGGGGTGGGGGAGGGAGAGAATGTGTGTGTGTGTGTGTGTGGCAGAGAAGGACGTGCCCCCTTCTCTCACCCTACTTGCCTTCGTGGAGCTCCTGGGACAGAGCGGTGCAGTGGCCCGCAATTGGCTTTCTGGTTCTGTCGCGTCGTGTCGTGTCGTGCTCCTGCAGACGCGTGAAGTCTTTCCTCAGGGTGATCCCTTCGGAGAGTTGCAGTGGCTTCCCCTCAGTCAAAGGCCGCTTCTGGGGAGAGCGAACCTCTCTCCCGCCTGAGAGGGCAGCAGCTCCGGCAGCCTCAAGGGGAGAGCAGGCGGAGGGGATGCGGAAGGCTTGGCCTGGTTTCTCCCCTTCAGGAGCCTGTCCGTGTCCATAGCTGGAGTACCCAAGGTTCCCAAGTACCCAAGTGGCATTGGTGGGGGTGGGGGAGGGAGAGAATGAGTGCTCAGTCCCAACATCAAGAGCATGAGGAAGGAGGCCAGTGTTTTCCCCACCCCACCCACTTCTTGGGGTATGATCTCTCATTGACAGAAATGGTTGGAAGGCTCTAAGTAGCCAACATCACAGTACTGTTGTGTTTTGTTGAGTTGTTTGTTATTCTTCATCACCTTCCATCAGTAATATTAAGATATATTCTTACCAAGCCATGAAATATACGGCAATTGTTACAGGTCACGGGGAGGGGAGGTAGCAATAATATAATCATCATCTTTGCAGAGCTGGAAAGGGCCCCATGGATCATAGGGACCAGCCCCTGTCAAGGAGGTGCCATGGGGGATCGAACTCCCAACCTCTCTCAAAGCACTCAGTGGTCCAGCAGTTCCTTCTGCCTCTACCTCATGTCCTCCTTTGATTGCGTGAAACTTTTACAAAAATTGTGTTTTACAAAAACTGCTTCCGGAAATGTTTTTTTTAAAAAAGCAGACGTGTTAGTCCATGCAAGCATATCCAGGCAAAAATGAAAACAGAAAGGTTATGGCTCCTTAAAAGACCAGCTGTTGCATTTCATTGTGAGCTTTTGTGGACAGATCCACTTCTTCAGACATATCAGAGTGAATATCTAATGCTTCACTCTAATATGCCGGAGGAAGTGGAAGTATCCAGCACAGCTCATATTGAAATATAACAACCTAAGGTAGCCTATCAGAGTGAATATCTAATGCTTCACTCTTAATATGCCAGAGGAAGTGGATGTATTCAGCACAGCTCACATTGAAATATATAACTCCAGAGCAGATATTAAAGCGGTCACTCCGCAAGCCCCTTGAAAACAAGGCAGTAATAACGAGAAGCCAACATGGATTTGCCAAGTACCAGTCCTGCCAGATTAATTTTATCTGTTTTTTTAATCGCGTCACCTCCCTCGAAGATCATGGGAATGCTGCAGATGTAATATATCTTGACTTCAGCAAAGCTTTTGACCAAGTGCACCATGAGATTCTGATTTGCAAGCTAACGGTGCTCCCTAGTCACGCTGGCCACGTGACAACAGAAACTGTCTTCAGACAGGCGCTGGCTCTAGGGGTTGGAAACAGGGATGAGCACTGCCCCCCTAGAGTCGGACACGACTGGACTAAAAATGTTAAGGGGATCCTTTACCTTTACCTAAGGTACTACAACATCTTTGTCCTCTATTTTTGTTCTGTTTTGTCTGGTTATGCTTCTGGAAAAGTTTGGCTAAAGGGGTTTCCTAATCATCATCATGTGCCATTGAGTCACTTCTGACTTATGGCAAACCTTTTTTCCAGGGCTTTCCAGAAAAAGAATTCTCAGAAGTGGTTTCCCTTTCCCTTCTTAACTTGTTGATACGAGGACAGATGCAGTGCCACAAGAGAAGGAAGAGCCCAACCTGTCCACATTCCCCTTCCCCCCCAAGTAAGTGAACCAGAGCCTCAGAGCCTTTCAGCACAGTCTGGTGAGGCAGGTTGACAAGTATAAGTCCCCTTGAGTTCAGGTGTCAGAAAGAGGACTGCAGTGCCAAGCTGGTTGAACTGGGGTGTCTTTTTGCTATAGATTCTCTGATGTTTGGAAGAAGTGCCCCTAAGGAGGGCACTCTGCTCTCCTGAGACCAGATCCATCGTGCTGGGAGGATTGGAGGTGGGACGAACACTGCTGGGAAAGAAGGAAAAGGAGCCGAAGGGACATTTTTTTTTTAACAAGGCTATTTTTATTTTACTTTTTAAAAGGAGTTACGAAGGTCCTAGCAGGACCAAAAAAAACCCTGACTTCAAGTGTTAGAGAAAAGCAAGGAAAGAGACACAGCAAGGATACAGTGAAGCTTTACAAAATGATCTTAAAAAGAGGAGGGCATCCAGAGCCCTTCAAACCGAAGCAGGCAACTTCACGTAAGACAGGACTGGGAGAAACCTCAGCTCTCTGACCTCAGATGCTCTCACCTCCGCAGGATGATGATCTGCCTCCCGCCTCCACATTTGGCCACAGCCAGGCGAAAAAAAAAGTTCCCTAGAAACCCAGAGCGGGGGGGGAGGGGGCAACTGGGGAGGGGCAAGACGACAGCAGCAGCAAAGGCAAAACCGCAGGCCTGCCCGCCACTGAAAAAAACCATGACTTCAAGTGTTAGAGAAAAGCAAGGAAAGAGACACAGCAAGGACACACCGAAGCTTTACAAAATGATCTTAAAAAGAGGAGGGCATCCAGAGCCCTTCAAACCGAAGCAGGCAACTTCACGTAAGACAGGACTGGGAGAAACCTCAGCTCTCTGACCTCAGATGCTCTCACCTCCGGAGCAGCGACAGGATGATGATCTGCTTCCCTCCTCCACATTTGGCCACAGCCAGGTGAAAAAAAAGTTCCCTAGAAACCCAGAGCCCGGGGGGGGGAGGGGGCAACTGGCGAGGGGCAAGACGACAGCAGCAGCGAAGGCAAAACCGCGGGCCTGCCCGCCACGGTTCCAGAAGCAGCAGCAGGAAGAGCAAGGGATTCAGGCTTCTTGGCAGGACTCCTTTGCCCAGTGGGGCATCTCACTCCTCCTTTTCCCCCCAGTTCCTTATCCCCCCCAAGAAAAACGGGACAAAGGCAATCTGGAGAGGGAAAAGAAAATAAAGAGACTTGTCAATTTTCTCTGGTGGAAGAAGAAAGAGTATTCCAGGCAACTCAGCAAAGGGAGGGAAACTTGAGAGATATTCATATCTTCCACCACCACCCCAGCCAAAAGCAGGACCAACAAGTACTTGTGTGCGTACATATGTGTGTGTATACAGGCACTGAGATTTTCCTAATAATTCAAAAGGTGTTCACCCAAACCATTCCAGTAACATACTCTGAATACATCCGTGCTACAGTTCAGCCATGTTCTCTCTGGATGAAGAGCAAGCTCCCTCTTTTATACAGCATCTCAGTAGCATTCCATTTTGGAGCTCCTCACCATTCTGCTCTGTTGGGTCCTGAACAAGCCCTGCCCTAATAGGACAACCGAGTGGGCTGTAGCTGAAACATTAGG